GAGGTGAACATCCCCTGTTGACCGGTCACACCCGCCTTGTGCCTTTGTCATGATCGGGTAATAACTGAGAACTCCGTTGACAGTTCAGTGTATAAATAATGGCCTAACAATTAGTATGAAAAACGTCAGTCAGCATTTGACTCAGTGATAGGTTGTATGTGCTGACAAGGTCATTGTATCGACGGTAAAACTTGCGAAAAGATGACTTCATACGAGACTGTTGATATTCTTGTTTCATCAACTCGTTTGTCAAAAGCTTGCCTCATTTTAGAAATTGTTCATACGTAGAGCATGCTCTTGCGTATCTACTCAACTGAGAGACATAAACCCCATATGCAGGTGATATGGGTATATCGCTACATAAGTAAGGGAAGTTGACGATTGAAAAACTGAAGTCATCACGTTTATCATAAGGCTTTGTTGTTAGGTTACTATTTACGTCTTTTTCTAGTAATATTAATAAATATGAAACAGATGTGTCAGAATCTGTGGTATCTTTTATTTCAAGCTCACTGGGATATAACAAGTAGATATATGAATGAAAATAACAATTGTTTATTGATAATACGTCGTCGATATATCGAAATGTCGAGTTGAAGACCACAGCAAATGTTTCTTCTTCTCTTGTAAAAGTTTTTGAATAAATTCTGCTTCATAATACAAAAATAGGTCTGTTAATAAGGGGGGGGGGGGATTGGTTCCCATAGGAATTCCAACAGATTGTTGGAAGACCTTATCTACGAAAACTACATAGATATTGTCAATCAGAAACTCAAGCATCTTTTTAATATCAACTTCATTGTAGTTCCGTGTACAATCAGAGTGCTTTTTAATAAAATAATTCTGTAAATGACCAATGACAACGTAAGTATATTTAGGAGTTCCATTTTTATTGAAAAAAGCAGCTGTCTATGATGTCAAAAAGCCTTCAATTTATCGTGGGGAATAGAAGAGAAATACACAACCCCAACCCCCCCCCCCCCCAAAAAAAAAAAAAAGAGAGAATAAAACCCAAACAAATCAAATCAAATAAAGTTAAGCTGTACATAAAAAAAAAATCTTACTATTTCAGTTTAATGTAAATTTAATGTAATTTATTACACTATGACAATATTCATTTCCCATGTTGAAAAACTGGACACAAATCACAAATGAAGATGAAAAAAAAAATCAAAATCATCGAATTATCTCCCTTTGTAGAGGGTCCTCCAACTTAAAGTAGGTCTCAGGTTTGCTGACGTCGTTAAAACTGGGTGCGCAATTTATATGATTTGGGCGAATTTCTTGAGCACATTTGATTATGACGTCACAATGAAAAAGAAAATCTGCGATGATTTTTTTTTTATTAAATACTTCAGTATATCATTATTTAGCTATATCTTTTGTTGGAGATCGTATTTCAGTGTAATATTATTTAAGCAACAACTTAACACAAATAAGGTTAGTTAGCTATAGCTTTGGTTGGAATTGGTAGTGTAGTGTAATATTATTCATGAAATAAACTGAAGTTATCAAAAACGATTATAATGATCTACACCGGAAGTATTAGAAAGTGCTTAAATATTTGTTATGATTCAGTCGTATCTTTTCTGGCATTTCCGGCAAGGTTGGAAAAACAAGTGGTTGGTTTTCGGCTTGTCGGAAAGGCCCCAGAAATTGCGATTGATTTGTTATGTATGGTGTCCGGATAGCATTTGCAAAAGCTCAACAGCACGTTAAAAAAACACGCCATCGCCGTCGCGCTAACTCAACTTTACACAACACGTTGTCGCGCTGTCACACAACTCGCTAACACAACTTTGTGAAAGCGCGACGGCGTGTTGTATGTTAGCGCGACGGTGTGTTGTGCGAACTTGTGTTAGCGTGACGGCTTGTTGTTCAATGATGTGTTAGCGCGATGGCGTGTTGTGTGTTAGTGTGACGACGTGTTGTGTGTTAGCGCGACGACGTGTTTTTTTTTTTTCTGAATGCGCTGTTGAGCTTTTGCAAATGGCCATATCCGCGGACACCATAGTTATGAGGTGTTATCGTTTGTTTGTTTGTTTATTTATTTCTTTAAGCCAAAGGCTTATCAGATTTTGTACACAATATAGAGCATACAAAATAAAGCATTTTCCCAACTGCATGATATACTTAAAAAGGATATAAATATCAAATAATAATTACAAATTTGATTTTCGAAGAGCTGTAGCTTTGTATAAAAATTTACCAAAATTAGATAGCTCTTTCGCCTTTTGACTACACAATAAATTCATAAGTTTAAATACACTTGGTTTAACATAATGATGTTTCTTAATATACACACTTCTCAGACTTTCATAAAATGGACATTTTAAATATAAAATGATATTCATCTTCAATATCATTAGAAGAACAAAGAGTCTTGATGTATTGTTATATCTACTAGTTTCATATTTTAATTGGTGGTTGAACAATCTAATTTTAATTTGTTATATGTTATGAAACGAACACAATGGACACAAGTTTTAACTTACCTTTTCCTTTGAATTAACAGTTTCTTTATTACTAAAGAAGTCATTATTTAAAAGTCACAAATACACCTGTTACATCAAAAGTTCAAACTTTATTTTTAAAAAGGAATTTCTAAAATATATTTACAAGTTTAACACAATTTAAAAAGTGCTAAGCTACTAGAACATAAAGACAATTTTTGAGCGACACTGACCTCTTGTAAGTAACGGCTTACAATGCTGTAACCTACGAGGGTTGTTCGAAAAAGATCGTGGACTATACCAATCTTCGTTATACTATCTTAAAAAATATAAAATGAGCACATTATCATATGTAAAAATATTTATTTGGTTTAAGTGTGAAGTTTCATTCCATGTGATTTAATAGAGTTCATGTTATCTAATTTTAAAATCAACACGTTTTGTAACCACGGAGCAAACTCAACAACACTGCAACGTCAAAAACATACCGACATTAGGTTCTCAAAAATACTATCCCTATACATTTCACACAGTATTGCTCAAGACCAGTGCACTCATTAAAAACGTTTCTCTGTTTGTTGAAATCTATATTGCTAACAATTGTCCCAGTAGCATAGTTTTGTTTGTCAATGTATTTTTTTCACTGCATCATAAGTTGCTTTCACAAGATCAGCATCTGTAAAGCGCCAAACTCTTAACATGACGTTACAAACTTTTCAATGTTTTGAGAAGATTTTTACAGATAATCCGTTTTCTTAGAGATCACCATCGTCTAAGCGGAGTAGCCTATCATTCAAATACCGCTTGTTCCATGTACACACACATGCATGGCTTGCATTTGACACATTTCCTACTTCCCCCAGCATTTTCAGAGATTTTTTTATGGAGTTTTCCAGAGTACAACACAAAATTGTATGGTTAACTGCTGCTCCGTGACGTTCTACGACGTCACCTTTTTTGGCTTTTTCAATGAAGACTACCTATCTTCTGAAACAGATTTCTTTTCAACGAAGCAAAATATTAAGTCATAATTTGGATCAAAAGAGATGAAACAATTCTTAATTTGAACGTGTAGAATTTTTTCGATTTTGTGTCATAATACAGAAGATATGACTTCAGACATTATTTATTGTCTTGATTGTAAATTACGAAATTTTGACCCGCTCCGTGATCCGATTTTTGCATTTTTATAGTCTAAATAAGTTTGAAATAAACCATGATATTTTTTTTTTTTTTACAAAATTTATACACATTTGAATTTACTGTTGAAATATTTCTTCCAAATTTGGCTATAATATGACGTTAATCAAAAAAGTTATGACGGTAGTCCACGAACTTTCAGAACAACCCTCGTAAATATTTTATTCCCTACTTTGCTTTCCATGTCCAACAAGTTGAAAGTCGCAAAAAAAATCTGGCTGTTAATTACGTCAGATAAAATTAATTTTAAGATTCTCGTTCCATTTACTCCTCTAAAAATGTCTTGTTCGATTGTTTTATTTTTTTTATTCTTAAACGTATAATCATAGAATCAAGTTCAGAATTTTTTGAGTTATCTCCTGTCTGTAAGTAAAAATAAATATTTTTTAATGTATACTAAAAATATATTGTATTTAGCCGGGACGATATTTGGTGGAAATTCATTTATTAACAAGTTGTCATAGATTTGAGTGCCTTGCTGAGTCTTCTAAATAATAATAATAAAAAAAAACATTTCATATACTTGAATTTGAGGAAATCGTTTTCCGCCAGCACGCTAAAAAATACACAGCCAAATGTAAGGATATTCTAATCTACGGAAGAAAAAAAAAAAAAAAAAAAAAAAAAACTTAAAGAAAAGAAACGGTAAGAAAACAAAACATATAGAAAATAAATTGAAAAAAAAGAAGCTAATGAACTGGTTGCTGTTTTTATAGCCCTTGGGAGAATTTTCATTAATATGAAACGTACAAAGAACATAAGAAGAGAAACATGTCTAATAATCATTCCATTGGTAATGAATTATTATTATACGATTCATGGCTCATTTGAAAGCAAAAAGACGTGATTAAAAAAAAAATATTTTATCTTGTTTTTCTGCATCGAATATCGGATCGATCAAGCGTGACGTCGCGATATTTTATGATATGTTACATTTTGCCATATAAAAATAATTATCCAAATTCAAATTACGAGAAAATAACCCGAAGACATATTAATTTTTATACATAGATTTATTTCGAATGAATTCTATATTAAATTACCAAAAGGGAAACAATTTCCTTTGCATAATTTAAGAGTTATTGATATTTTTTGAAACAAACTTTTGCCTCAAAAACTAGCCAAAAACGACGTTTTTCCTATATAATTCAATAGAATAACGTAGAAAATGTTACGACAACAATGGTATGTCTGGGATTTAATTACACAAAAACGATGCAGAGGAATTTTGTAAAATTCAGTGAATGTAAAAAGAAGGCAGAGGATTCATATAACTCATTTGCATGGTATGTTTTCGAACACTTTTAAAAGGCTTGCAAACCCGCGACCTACGTGAAGCAAGTCCTGCTGTATAATGTATCCATCTGTTCAGCTTTCTCATTTTACTAATGACGCATAATTATGTGCATCCTGTACACTTGTATTGTTATGTAATGCTTCATAATAAATGTTAATCTCCGTTGATGTCTTCTCCTGATTCGGATGGTCAGTTGATGCCTTCCCTGACTTCACATTAGCATACTCCGGTGTGGTACCAGTGGAGATGTCCTTTCTTTTTCGCCTTAATCTGCAATTGTTTTGATATTGATTTGACATTGATAATAATTTTTTTATTTATAAGTATTTTCTGTATATAGATTGCACAAATATTATGACTCAGGGAAAATTTAGATACCTTAAAAAATACATCGTAAGGAATCCGCAATGTATCAGAAGTGAAACTAGGAGTGCAGTCAGCAAGCCATACACTTCTAAATTACATCCCTCAACAAGACGAGCATTTTTGTTCACTTGATAGAACAAACATTCAATAATTTTAAATACATAGTTCAAATGTACAAATTTCCTATCAAGCATGTGTTTGATGAAGGTAATAATATTCAAATCAAGCTCTCGAATACAAGTGTTCTATTTTTTTGTCATTTCGATATTTTTTTTTTGAAAAATTAATCGTCCAGTTAGATAAAAATAATGAAATCGACATTCCATAAGTACATGTAGGTATAGCTACTGGAAAATCAAAAATATATAATTTTTTTCCTACATGAACAGTTATATCTTAATCGTTATACATGTATGCGTGTAAAAGTATGTAACATTATGCTAGTTAATCGTTTAGGATATTTGTACTTTCCAATCCTTCAGAATCCCCTAAACAAAGAGCACAGCACCCATCACATAGGTCGGTTTGTTCATTGTAGGTAGAGGTCAATCCTTTGCATATTTCCGTACAGTTTGATTCACAAATACCTTCTGGACACTCTAAATAAATTGTGTGGAAATAAATGTATCATTTAATGTGGTTAAAAAAACTTCCCTTATTTTATTTAACACTGTTACCTCTATCTAAGAACACATATGAATATAATATTCAAATATTTTGCTTTTCATAAATTAGTTTCATCTTTGTTGAAATTTATTTAATATGATTTTATGTGTAATTGATTATTGTAACTGAATTGGACATTTCAAATGTAGTCAATGATGAAAAAGTTTTGCAAAATATTTACTTCGTGGAAACTGTAAGTTCTAAAGGTACACTAACTAAAGTCACACTTATTGCCAATATACCCCTCGGCGCAGCCATTTGAGCATACACCAGTCACGTGATCACAATTTCCAACACCATCTTTACACTGACCACAAAGTTGAGTGCAGTTTTGACCAAATGTGCCACTTCCACATTCTTTAAATTTAAAAAGCCAATTAAGAAAGAAATTAAATAATACGATCGGAATATTATAACTTCTGACATAATAAATACGATATTAAAGAAGCATGCATCTTCGACTGAGATGAAATAAATTTTTTATCGATTAAGATTAAACAAAGTACAATTAATATATATTATGTAGAATTATTTCATATGCGATGGATATCATTCTATGAATAACATGAAAAAGAATTCTATGTGCTTAGAGTTGTTTAACATTTTCGGTCATAATGTACTTTTTTTGTTTCTGTTTATTGTCTCAATTTCTGAATATTCGCAAAAACCCTAAATTATTTCTGTCCTTGTTTGATTATATAGGAAACATTAAGGTCATTAAAAACATATAAAATATATGTGTTGATTTTTTCATGTGTATTATTTCATTTATCGGAAATAGGTGACTTTTTTTCTAAATGCATGAGCAGATGTTTTCATATCTGGATTCTCTTTCTACAGATGGATCTCCTATTGTTAAAAATGTTCTCAAAATTCTCATATTTAACATGTTTTTTCCAAATACATTGCATGGTTGAGATCCGAGGTTACCACGTATTAATTTGAAAATCTTTCTATAGTTGGATATGGTTGTATTGAAAACAATATTACATCACTCCTGATACTGTGATAGTTTCCTCTGAAAAAAGACTTTAAGACTAATATGATACTTAAATAAGGAACATGTATTCTAAGTGAAGAACTAGAATTCCTGGCCTTCAACTAATAAAGGTGAAAATAGAAATCAGCATCGATTTCAAAAATCCAGTAACATTACAAATCGTTAAGAGGTCAAAGCACAGACCACTGGAACTCCAGATGTGGGATCAGGTGCCTGGAAGAAGTAAGTCTGCTCTCGATCGGTCAAATCCATTGTGAGTCATCTGTCTCTAGTAGGTAAACGGAGCAATTTACACTTAAAATTTGTGCAAAACTAATGGTCTTGAAATTGGTATAAAACTTGTCAGTCAAAAGAAAATCTCAAATAATGTTCAGTCAGGATAATATAACATGCAGACATTTAATCATTAAGTATTGTCACCCGTTATGGCGTCATGAGTTAAATATGACCCCCCCCCCCCCAAAAAAAAAAAAAAATGGCGCAAATTTAACATTTCATCGATTTTGAAAGAAAATAGTGTATTTTATGTCAATAATTTGATTGGAAAATATCGAGCAGTGACTCCATTTTTTGCAGACTGCATATATAGATATTGTTACTGAGTAACTCTAACATATTTTTAGCATCAACTTGTGGATGTAATCAGAATGTTTTTAAGCAAGTAATTTTGTAAATGACCACAAACGACATGAAAATTTCCGACTTCAAATTTTATTAAAGAAGCAGTTGTCTATGATGTCATGTAGGCTTGTATTTAATTTATATTGAGGAATATTTGGATAAAGTGTTGAAAATTCATACGTTTTGATGCTATTCATTTTGGTTTAAAATAAAAAAAAAAGTCTTTTAGAGGTTTTGAATCCACATTTGTTTTACACCACTTCTTGAATATGATTCAGCATAATACTTGTACGTCCAATGTTACTCCTATACAAGATTTTCTTTACTGTTACCATATTACACATACCAGATTGCAAGAAAAAAAAAATGAAATGAACACGTCCTTTTGATTATTGAAATATATATTTTTTCACAGAAAAAAAAAAAAAAATAGAAAACCTACCAAATTCACATTGATTTCCATTGTACCCTGAAAAACATGTGCATGAAAAGGACACGCAATTATTTGTACACGTTCCATTTCCACAAGGATGGCCTCCACACATTCCAAGATTATCTGTAACAATGTTTTCAAATAGGAAAACTAGGTGTTAAAATATTATGCTTGAAAGCTGCAATTCTACATAATAAATCCCGCATGAGTTTTGGACATTAAAGATATTAAATAACAATTAAGATAATAGGTATAAAACATTTTTACATTAGAACAGTTTCGAAAAAAGCACAATGTCAAAAGCAAGATTTGGATTTATTATCCTGAAAATAACACCTTGTGAATAAAAACAAGACTGTCCTGATTTACCTTTACATGTCATATTCCAACTAAGTGTCTTAATACGCCCAACGTGGGGGTCACCTCCAAGAAAGGAATTTGTTGCTTCTATTAAACATGATCTTTTATTGCAACATTTAATTTGAAGAGTTCTTGTAACATCTGCAGAAAATTCATTGGTAAAATATTCTCCAAACGTGAAACCCACATACTGTCCTTCAGGGCATTCAAGAACAGTTTGACTTCTCTCCTTCAGAGTTCCTATTAAAAGACTCATTGATGTAATATTACAGAAATACTGAATGCAACTTCAAATATACATATTTACATTAATGTTTTAAAGTCACGAACCCTCTTCTAATACAATCATGGTATAGCACTTTGAGACAGCAAAACCAAATTTTTTACTCTAATTTTTCTTTGGTATTTGTGGAAAGATGAGAATAATATAATGTATACAAAATGTTCAGTTCTTCCAATCATGACGTGAAGTAAAACGCTTAGTAATGTATAAAATCAGTTTTTTTAACATAAATCGACAATTAAAAATATGCTTACGTGGATGAAATGCCTTATGCATACAAACCCTAGAACCCTAGAGCTAAGTGATTTTTAACAACGTGATAAACTGTAATGAATCAGATGTAGTATGATCATTGAATGGTCAAACATGTAGGAGATATCTTTATGTTTCTGCTCAGTTACATGCGTCATTTGAGGATATACGATATATATATATATATATATATATATATATATATATATATATATATATATATATATATATATATATATATATATATATATATATATATATATATATATATATATATATATATAATTTCCTACATTATCTTATCATTAAATGAAAATACTTAATAATAAATCTTCTTTGTTCATTTAACATAAGGGTAAGATATATTAACTTGCTGAAGACTTTAAAATAGAAAGAATTTCCCTTGTCATAATACATATAGAAAAATATAACCAAATCCTTAGGCAATTATGTAATATGTAATAAAATATAGATGTACAAAATATTTTCATTATTCTAAATAATTCAGTAGAGTCTTTTCTTTGTTTTACATAGAGCAGGTCAGAAGAACACAAGGAAAATCTTACATTATCGTGGAATTCCCTTTAGTCAAAACATTCAGACATGACCCATTCATCATGAAATTAAGTGGTTAATATAATTACATATGTCTAAAGTACACTTTATGTATCAAATATTTCACCTACAAAGTCTAAATAATTCACCATAGATCTTGTAAACATAAACTTATTGATCTAAAACTTACCATAAGCATTTACATATCTCCTTGAAAGGGAAATGATAAAAGTCAAAATAATAAAGGACGCCATGCTAGTCGCAAGACAGAGTATATTTTTAGATTTATGTTCACGTTACCGGATTTTACAGTACAGCTGGACTCTCTCTCTCTTTCTCTCTCTCTCTCTCTCTCTCTCTCTCTCTCTCTCTCTCTCTCTCTCTCTGAATTTTATTTTTTTTATTCAGATCAATATCTGCAGAAATTATAATTAACATGAGTATGATAGCGAGACTTTGACATAATTAATAATTACAGATTGTACAGGACTATTAGTTGAGTTTTTGTGTTTAAGGTCTTGTCTGCCACACATTCTACTGGAGAGGAATCAAATGCATTGTTTAATATAAAGTACATTTTAAATAATGTTTTGTATTAGTTTAAGTACAGTAAAAATAGTTTATCATGAACTCGCGTGAAAGAAAATTTCTGTTATGAGGAAAGTTTTGTGAATCCCTTAGGAGGCTTTGCACTTACATGCAGTTCTTTATACAGTTATAAAGAAACACGCTTATACGAAACAAAAGTCCCAAGTTCACATCTGTTTATTTTTAAGTTATACACAATTACAACACTGGAATATCAGGACAGTCTGAAATTTCAATCAAATTATGTTATTCGTTATTCACGTATAAATATGCATCATATGTATAAATCATCATCATAAGGTCTGACTCTAAAATATATGCTTTTAAAATTTTCAGAGTTTGAATAGTTTTAATCAGGGGCATTCCTAAGAGCGGAATTCATATCATGAAAAAAGTAATTTTTACAAGTTTGAACTGTAAAACTGTAAAATGTTTTGTTTTTGTAATATATATTTTTGTATATATATATATATATATATATATATATATATATATATATATATATATATATATATATATATATATATATATATATATATATATATATATATATATATATATATATATATATATATATATATATATATATATATATATATATATATATATATATATACCGTATATACTCGCGTATAAGTCGGTCCGCCTATAAGTCGGTTGTATTTTTTACGTTTATTTTGGTGGGATTTGCCAATGACCCGCTTATAAGTCGGTACAACTGTTTGCCAGAATTGGTTGACATTTTCAAATCAATGTCCTGATGTTTTTACCTGGTTTCAATCAACATTTAAAAAAAAAATGACATCAATATTGAGTTTTAAATCATTAAAAAATAAGTATCGCACACTTTCGATAAAAATAAAACTATTAAAATTTATAAATACTTGTACTTTATTCATAATCTTAGAAAACATAAATGATATAATATATGAAGACTTTGTTCAACGATAATCGGCAGGATAATTTATAAAATACAACCTTTTGACGTTCCAGAAAGATACCAATCTTTCTATGACTCGCTTATAAGTCGGACACAGAGTTTTGGACCAAAATTAAACTCCCAAAAAACCGACTTATAGGCGAGTATATACGGTATATATATATATATATATATATATATATATATATATATATATATATATATATATATATATATATATATATATATATATATATATATATATATATATATATATATATATATATATATATATACATCTTTCTTGATGGGTTTTCCCATTCAAAACCTCGAAAGGCGTTACGATCAACATTACAGTTTTCGAATGATCAATAAATATTTGTTTTAGCGCTTATTTATTCTTTGATTATTACATTTTAGCCCATTATCAAAACTCAAGTTTTGTGCCCCCAAAAGAGCTAGGTTCACTTTACACATAAAATGGCCCTGTCCTTACATCAATTAATTGACTATCACCCTATGTCCCATTTCATATATCAAAATAAAGTAGAGACTTAACGCTTTCATTTCCTATAACAAAATTTCTTTTTGAGAATCCAGGTATTGGAAAACAGCTTTTTTTTGCAGAAAACATTCGTATTTGTCTACCTTCGATCAGCAAAGAATTAAAATATGAGCACAGCCCACGATCCAAAAATTAAAACATATTTTGTGATCTTCGGAAACAGATCTTTCATTATGTAATTGCATATTTTGGATCAGAGGTTGTGCTCTGTATGAAATATTGAAAAAATACCTCAATTTTTGGCCATTTTAAGGGAATTTATAGGATATGGGAAATATGACGCATTTTATGACATCATAATGCATTGACCAGAGAGGAGCAAATTACGTCATGTTCAATAGATACACTGTCACAAAGGGTCCAAGTTATATATACTACATTTTCAACCAAAACTGAGCAGTTTCGATTTTTCAGAAATTCTCAGGGCCAAAAAAGGCCCTAAGTGGCTCTTGCTCTTTAAAATCTGTAGAGGATTCTTTTTGGCACAGTTTAGCATGAAGAGTTTTGAATTGTGTATTGAAGTGAATAGAGTTAACTGTTATCTACATCTACAGTGAATAAGGCTGTGTGTAATTGATTGAATTATCATACTGTTAATTAATTAAACTTATTTCCAGTTTTATTTAATTAAGGTATGAGTCACACGATTAACAAAGAGGAATTAATAGGAAAAATTATTATACTTCTGTTAATATGTTTCTTATATGAAGTTAAGAAGGGAAAACAACTATATTTTATAGTCTGAAAAATTTCAAGCACAGCAAAGCTATACCTCGGGGTATAGTTTGTGCTACCCACCCCTCGGAATATTTTCATGCAATCTTTGCCGCAAATTTTGATTTCTTTTGATTAATCTTTAGACTAATGATGTCATCCTGACTTCAGTTTCATTGTGACGTCATGAGGATTTCATCCATTCTAGGAGTGTTATCTTATTCCATATACATGTTAAAAACTAATATAATTTATTCTATGCATGTTTTGCCTATAATACTGTAGTATCAGGTAAATCCAACCCTCAGAAATTATGATATCCATCAGTATAATAAAAGGCTTATCCACTGGCTGTGCGTGGGATAGCTCTTTCATCAAACCCTTGACAGGAACTATTCCCCTCGGGCATGCCCTCGGGAAATCGTTTCCCGTCGCGGGTTTGATAAAAGAGCTATCTCACTCACAGCCAGTGGATAAGTATATAATATACAATAGATAAGATAAAATAATTTAAACGGAGTAAATTTCAATAAAAGAACCAAATGCATGCAACATCACGGAGTGGACACGTTTGTGGAAATTCACAACCACCAGCGGAAGATGCATATTAGTATTACTAAGTGGGTGTTATAATAGGACGAGTAAATGAATTTCACAACAACGGGAATCATACATAGCAAGACAAGATACTTTAGTCATCAATAAGTGTTCTAATCGCATTTGATATATTTATCATAATACAAAAAGCTGGAAGTTAATGCTTGTAGGAAAAAAAAAATGAATACTCAGAAAATGTTTTATGTAGATTTTAAGATGCAAATGGAAATATATACATGTAGTATTTACTGTTAAATACAGTACATAATTTGTAATCATCAAATTAAAGTTATGACTTATGGGAAATATAATTTTGCAGTATTCGATCTTTCCAGGTGTATTCTTTTTCCATATATTTTCTTTTTTTTTCAAATTTTGTATTGTATAATTTTTTTTATCTGCATTATAAATGCATTTTTGTATTCTATAATTTCTATTTGTATTGCATTTTCCCCGTTCTGTTGTATATTTTCTATTCGTACTCTTTAATTTCGATTTACATTCTATGTGTGGTTATGTCACATGCCAATTGGCAACTTTATATATAGG